TGAGGAAGAAGATCCCACATGGTCTCCCCTGCTGAGATAACATCACGCCACGCAGGGTGCCCACGCCACGCACGTTATAACATCACACACACAGTTTTGCCACCTGCTTTCATCCCTCAGAAATATCTCTCAATAAATACTCATCGCAAGTCAATTTTAAATGGCCGAAGAGTGTTACATTTCATGGATATGCCACCTAATTTAGTTAACGTCGTTTGTTTCACTTTTTCTTTTTTAAAAAATCAGTGTTGCCCGGCTGGGCGTGGCTCAGCAGTTGAGCGTCGACCTAGGATCCAGGCGATCAGGGTTCGATTCCCGGTCAGGGCACATGCCCGGGTTGCGGGCTAGCCAATCAATGACTTTGTCATCATTGATATTTCTATCTCTCTCTCCCTCTCCTTTCCTCTCTCTGGGATCAATAAAGATATATTAAAAAAAAAAAATTCAGTGTTCCAGAAGATACTTCAAGCCGTCACTTTGGCACGAGGGCATGAGTCACGGTCTGGCGGGGTGTCAGTATGCGATTCGTCCTGCGTGTGGATTTGTTGTTGCTCCGTCTTCCTACCTCATGTTGCTCTTTGTGGCGATGACCGCTTGTTTTCCACACTGCCCTGTGGTTCTAAAAACAAGCGTTACGCAGCCCTCTGCTTCCCGAGCGCCCGCGCACACGGGCTCGCCCTCCTTCCTGTCTTCCAGCGGGGGCTGGTCTCCAAGAACACAGCGCTGTAAACAGAGTTCTCCGAACACCTACCCATTGACAATGTGGTGTATTTTTAATTAAAAGGACTGGGCACTGGCTACTCTGAAACATGTTGCAACCTTGACCTTTCTCTTCAGCACTTTCAGTGTTCTCTTCAATGGCAGGCGGCACAGTAAAGGTTACTTCTGAAGAGCATGTAGGTGCCACAATGTCAAGTAACAGATGAATGGCGATGGATATATCGTATCTATATTGAGAGGCATTGAAGAGGGCGTTTAAACCATGGCTTCTGCTGCTGCTCCTCTCTCTTATGGTTTGATTGTGGGCTGGGAGAAGTTTTCAAGGGGAGTCATTATAAAGCCTTAGAGAAACTGAGTGGTGTTTCTTGACTTCCCTGTGATTTCAGGTTTCTGAATCGTCTTGCATCTTGGTTAAGTGTCTGTTTTCGTGCATCATGAAGATGATACTTGGAATCTTATTGAGCTAGGAACACACGGAGAAGCACACTTAGGCCATTCTGGGCTGGGTGGCCTCTGAAAGTAGGGTCCAAGGCGGGATGGGGTGTGGAGATGGCAGGCACTGTCCCGAAGAGCCGTGTGAGGCTGGCTTGATTACAGAAGGTGGGAGATTTGGGACAGTGGGGTTCAAGTGTCCAAGCTGCTAAGAGTTGACTTTAGCCAAATAAACAAGAAAAGCTAATATTCCTGCTGGTGTCTCAGGCTATCTTCCTATGCATGGCCATCAGTTTTTTGTTTTTTTTTTTTAAATTGTCACCTGAGGACATGTTTTTATTGATTTTGAGAGAGAGAGAAACATCGATGTGAGAGAGACATTGATCACTTGTCTCCCAAACGCACAGGGATCTAACCTGAAACCTAGGTGTGTGCCCTGACTGGGAGTCGAACCTGCAACCTTTTGGTGTACAGGCTGATGCTCCAACCAACTGAGCCACCGCCAGGGCCAGTTTTCTTTTCAAGATCCCCATTATTTAGTTATGCCAAAGACTTGAAATGGAGCATGTGCCAGGAAACATTTTAAAAACGGGCACTGAGGACCAGTTAGAAAGAGAGATTAAACTATGTAACGGAATGACAGACAAATTACACAAACCTTGCCATCCATTCCGTAAATGTTTGTTCAGTCCTGCTCTGTACCAGATACTGTTTTTGGAATTCAGTAATGAATGTGACACAAGTTTCCTGCTCTCAAGGAGCGGCTGTGTAGCTCAGCTTCTGAATGCAGTGGCCCCAAGTGAAGGAAGCTTGGGTTTCTCACAGCTACAGATTTCAAATAGCAAGATGCTAACAGTTGCGAAATGAAAGTGGGTTTGGGGTTAAGGACTGTCAGCACAGGCGGGTGAGCAGGGAGATGTGGGAGTTGGTCATGGGCAGAGGCTGGCAGGTGGACGGGTGGTTAGGTGTGGGCTCTGGGGAGCATCCACAGTTGTGCAGGCAACTGTGGATGGTTTTGATGGGGCTGCTCTGAGGGCTTGAGGCCTGATCTGGTGTCCCTGAAGGTCCTTGAGGTGTGCTTGCCTGACAGTGAGACACTCTTGGGATTAGGCAGTTCACTCAGCTCTAGGCCAGTGCTACTCAAAATGTAGCCAGCTGACTGCTGTGAGGAGATAAGTGCAAACATTGAGAGCATGTGTTTAGAAATTTCTTTGCAACCACATCCAAGTGCATGAGCAGTGGACTAGTTTGTTTGAACAGGAGAGAGACCCATTTGGGTTGTGTGGGACTTACCTCTGTAAGTTCACATCTGACTGGAGCTGGGAACTTAGCCTCTGCAGGGGACCAGGTATCTTTCCCCAGTGAGTAGAAACAAAACAAAACACCAGACAAAACCACCTGCTCCTTCACAACATTAGTTTGAGAAACGACACTCTAGACCAAGCGTGGAGGTAATGGGAGGTGAGGCTGTGGGCCCAAAGTCAAGGACCTAAGTAAATCTAAAACCGTTTGTCAAATTCCATTTTCATTTCAGGTCTTCGTCAGTGTACAGGCTCCCCTTCCCCTCTTCCCTTTTCTCCTTGTCATCAGCATGTGTTCTTTTTTCATGAACATTATTTTCTATGCACATTGTATACAATTCTATACATATGTAATAATGTAAGAGTATTTCATTGTGTTTATATGCCACAGGTTCTTAGCTCCTCTATCTGGGGCTGTTGTTACTTTTTTCCTGTTATAAATAGTGTACATCATTAATATTTTTGAACATACTGGTTTTTTTCTTCTATTTCTTTTGGGTTCCTGGAGCCTGTACCCAAAGGAGAAGTACCGTGTCGAAGGTCATAGTTTTATTGCTCCGTAGAAAGACAGAATTGATTATATAGTGGGAGTAGATGCACAGACTTTTCTGTGGCTCCAGGCTGTGCAATTATGATGCTTTTTTGCTAGTTAGTAGGCAAATGTACTTGCCTGGAGGTTGTTTTAATGTGCTTACTTCAGAGGGTAGTGAGAATGTGGTGATTTGATTTTAATATTGTCTCACATTTAAAACGAAAGAATCTTAAAAAACACACCTCTTAGCAAGTTGAACCTGGATGTTGACAACTTGTAATTTTATCAGTTTTACATAGTTTGCATTTAAGCTTTTCTTCATTATATTTTACATCTTTACCCCTTCTGTTATTGTTGGTTTTCTATTTGTTTCATTATATTTTGTGGTGTAAAACTTGTTCATTAGTGTTTTATATGGGATGTTTCCCCAAAATGTATACACACACTCTGAATAATTATGAAGGCAGTGTTTATTAAAATACATTTTATTTTCTAAATTGAGCTATCAGCTGTGTATACATTTTTGTTGGACCCCTGTATGTTTTCTTGGACAGAAGTTATTTTCCCCTTTACAGGTGGGATAAATATGCTGTTCTGCCATATTTATAATTTTTAAAATGCTATCTCTTGGATCTATCTGGATCTTATTATAGTGTTTGGTATAACATGTGGATCTGGGTTAATGGAAGAGAATGGAAGTGTTTCTTATTTTTAATCACAATATCTGGTGCTCAATTTAATGTGCTTAATGAATAACTGACCATTATAATGATGCAGTTTTTTTTCTTAAGGGTTATGACTATGCAAAACAGCGTGTTTATTTTAAAAAATCTTTTGAAAATATTTACCTAACTTATTGATCAAATGAATGTAATGTGAAAAACTTTTCTAATTTTATTCAAATGATCTCATTTAAAGGGAAACATTTACCCAGAAGCACAAGCTATAGAATTCTGAATTTTTTGGATGCTATTTAATAGTCAAGTTTTAAAAATTTCATTTGAAAGTATTTGTTGCCAGAATATAAAATTGAAATAGATTTTTGTTTATTAACCTGTATCCCATGACCTTGCTAAACTCATGCATTTAAGAAAAAAAAATTTTTTATTTGCAGGGGTGAGACTAACAGGATCTTAATAAGAATCCACTCCCATTGAGGCAACATGGCTAATTTTAGATGTTAAGCTTACAGAGAAGCATGTTATACAGATTGAGAGAAAAGGAGAGATGAGATTGGTATAGAACATCAAGCAGCTAAACTGCAAGCAATATTTTTGACTATTCATTATAGCAGTATTCTGTAATTAAATAATATTTGAAATATTGCACAGAGAGATCAAAAGAGAAAGAGATTCAGATTTAATTCTGACACTTCCAAGTTGTATGAACTTGGGCAAGTGACTTATCCTTAGTTTAAAAAAAACCTGTAAAGTGGAGCCCTGGCTAGTGCAGCTCCGTTGGTTGGGTGTCGTCCTGTGCACCTTTTATTTTATTTTATTTTATTTTATTTTATTTTATTTTATTTTATTTTATTTTATTTTATTTTATTTTATTTTATTTTATTTTATTTTATTTTATTTTATTTTAATTTTATTATTATTTTATTTTATTATTTTATTTATTCATTTATTCATTTATTAAATATATCTTTATTGATTTTAGAGAGAGGAAGAGAGAGATAGAAAATCAATGGTGAGAGAGTCATTGATCGGCTGCCTCGTGCACGCTCCCGACTGGGGATGGAGCCCGCAACCCAGGCATGTGCCCTGACCGGGAATCGAACCACCGTCTCCTGGATCCTAGGTCGATGCTCAACCTCTGAGCCACGCCCGGCCGGCTGTGCACCTTTAAAAGGTTGCTGATTCGATTCCGGGCAGGGCACACGCCCAGGTTGTGGGCTTGATCCTTGGTGGGGGGCGTGTAGGAGGCAGCAGATTGATGTTTTGAGACAAACATTGATGTTTGTCTCTCTCTCTCTCTCCCTTCCTCTCTCTCTAAAAATCAATTAAAAAATTCTTAAAAAAACCCCCCAAAACTGTAAAATGGAAATAATAATAAGCCGCTTGCAGTATTGTTTGGATTAGAAATACTGTATATAAAGCACCTGCACATACCAGGAATGCAATAATATGTGGCTATGATTATTATTGGACTCCATCCTCCAGCATTTACTATATGAAATGATTATTTAATGTATTAAATTGTTACAATTTATTAATGGATACCATCAAATATCATGTGTCATCAAAGGAAGGGAACAATATCTTTGAAGAACCCTGCTCTGCTAAAAGGGTATGAAAACTTTATGTTCCGGGAGACTTGCACTGACCGATGACGAAGTAACAATAAACCGCTGCAGTGATGGCTATTCGGTCCCTTGCCAGCTTTCTTCTGTCCTTTATTGTTATTTACCCCAGTTTGGAGAGCCACAAGCACATTTATTCCCGGGGGCCTCTGAGGATCTCATACTATGAGACTATGCTCAGTTGTCCAGGAGCCCCTGGCACCCAGGGTTGGGGCGGGCGCCACCCCTGTGGTGGCCGTGGAACCCCTGGGGGGGTCACCACAATGACTGTGACAGCCAGGCCGCCCTTACCAGGCTTCGCCTTCATCATTTGCCTTCCTTCCCCACCCCCTTCTCTGTGTCTAGACCACGTGGCGAGGTGTGTCCTTGGCTAATGTTGTAACCTGTCTCTTTCTTCTAGAATTCTGAAGGCGGACTCTATGTATGCATGAATACATTTTTGGCCTTTGGAAGAGAACATGTTGAAAGACATTTTCGAAAAACTGGACAGAGTGTATACATGCACCTGAAAAGACATGTGCGAGAGGTGAGAGATACAGTTTTGGTGAACTGCCTTGGTGTCTTTCCCGTAACGTTGTCTTAGTGTGTGTACCACGTGGAGACTCTGCTGTGCTCGCATAACTTCCGATTCTCCTCGACTGTGGGAAACAAAAACAAGACTGTCAATAGAAATTCATAGGCTCCCCCAAACCTTATCTTACCCAGTTTTATTTTTCTCTTCCTCCGAACCTCTTCTTGGAGTTAAGAAGATATGGGTTGACTGATTGAAAAAAAATTAAGTAAAAAACAAACAGAAGAGTACAGAAAATAATACTAGAAACACTCATGGATCAAAAAATCAGAAATAAAATATGTTTGGGTACTTTTGATTCAAATTTTTTTTTCAGCAAGAACAAGAGTTTTCCTGAAAGTTGAAGTCCCTTTTGTTTCCCTCACTCCCGAGAAATTCATTGCTGTGAATTTTATGTTTCTCATTCCTGCACAAGTCATTGTATTTTATTTATGTATAGGTATTCATCACCCATATGCAGAATGATGGTGTTTTAAAGAAGCAGATAAATACCATCATAGTGTTAACTCTACTTCCGTATAAAGCTTTCCTTTTCAACGTGGTTTTTGAAATCTAGTCATGTTGTGATGCATTTGGATGTACTTAATTCATTCTAATAGTAGTTTGATATTCTACTTTGTCATTTATTATTCTGTTCTATTGATGAACATTTAGATTGTTTCTATTTTTTTTTCTTGCTTCTGTCAATAATGCAACAGTTAACATTTTTCTCCTGGGAGTACATGTGCAAGATTTTTAAGGGGATATATATAGAAGTGGTAATGCTGGCTTGTGGCTCTGCTTGCCCTTATTTGTACTGGATATTGACAAGTTCTTGCCCAGATTGGTTGCACCAGTTTATACTTCTATCTGCAGTGACTGTGAACTCCTGGTTTTCCACAACCTCACACTTGGTCCGATTTTTAATTTTGCCAATCTATTGGTTGTGAAGTAGCATCTAAATATTTGGCATTTCCTTCTGCGAGAATTGAATACCTTTATATATGTTTATTGGCCATTCTGGTTTTCTCTTCTCTGAGTGGCCTATTTTTATTTTTGGCCTATTTCTCTATGGGTTTATCTTCTTCTTAAAAGTTTTATTTAGTTTTTTTCACATTCTAGATATAAAAATTTTTTGCTTATGAATTATTTTCTAGAACGGAAGTTTTAGATTTGATGTACTAAACTTTTCTCTCGTAAATTGTAGTTTTTGTATCATGTCTAAGAAATTGTTTTCCAACTCAAGGTCATAAAGATATTTCTTTTGATACTTTATTTTTTTAGAAGTGCATGCATGTGTGTGCTTTCACATTTTAGGTCTTTATCTATAATTTATTTTTATATTTCTGTGAAGTGTGGGGATCTACATTTTATTTCCCATATTGATAGCCAGTTTTCCCACTATTGCTAGAGTTGTGCAGTCTTTCCCAGTGATTTGTAGTGACATCTTTTTTATATTTTTACTTGCCATTACCATTCAGCTCTGTTTGGGGCTCAGTTTTTCCCTGTTGATCTTATTTTTCCAACTCTATATTGGTGTGACAAGTCTGGTAGTGCAAGCACCTTTTCCGTGTTAATTTTCCCCCAAACTTTCCTGGGTTTCGACGTCTATTTTTCTATATGGATTTTGGAATCAGTTCATGTAGTTTAAAGAATCCTGTTGAGATTTTGATCACGATCACATTAAATCTGTAGATTAATCTATAATCCACATCATGAGGGCAGGTATTCTTTTTTGAAATGTTTTTATTGATTTTAGAGGAAGAGGAAGGGAGATGGGGGGGGAGAGAGAGAGACATACACACACACACATGAATCGGCTGCCTCCTGCACACCCCCTACTGGGGATGGAGCCAGCAACCCACCGCCAGGGCGAGGGCAGGTATTTTTGTCTGTTTTGTTTACTTCTTTGTCCTCAGCACTGAACAGTGCCTAGCACATGATAGGTGTTTCATAAATATTTATTGAATAACTTTTCAACATGGCATACCTTTCTGTTTAATCAGGGCTCTTTTATGTCCTTCAGTAATATTTTGTAACTTTCAGTAAAGGAGTTTATATTTTGTTAGCTTTTTAAAAGGTCCATTATAATTTTTGTAACTATTGTAACTGCTATCTTTTATTTTTTATGCATTTTAATTGGTGATTGATGGAGTTTGGGGATGTTATTAATTTTCAGATGTTGATTTTATATTTAGCAACACTGTTCAACTTTCACTTTAGGCCTAATAGTTTGTAGGCTATCTTGGATCTTCTAAATCATTAGTGCTGATTTGAAGTTCATCTAATCTCTCTGCCTAGCCTAAATAATATGTCCTCTGTTTATTTTGGACAGTGAGGAGAGATCCCAAAATTAGACAGTGGGGAGGGTAGGGGGAGGAGGGAGAAGAAAGGCCAGGAGGTCAGATAAGCCATAAACTCGATGACTAGCTTCAAAATAATCTCATGTTGGCCTAATATTATGTGATTTACATTTACTACTTCTGTTAGTCGGGACATAGCAATTCTTGCGAAGTATGCTTTGTCCCTCATATTTCTTAGTATAAAGTGATGGAAATTTTATAAAACTGGGGGCTGGGGGGAACTAGATAGGCCCAGCGACTTGAAATAACTTGCTCGCAGCCACAGAGTCAGTTGCAGACTTGCAGAATGCTGGTAATCTCGTCCAGTGTCGGGCTGCCTCTGAAATTCTAGGTGAGACAGTCCACTCTCTGACCGTGACCCTCTCTCGGGTTAGCCCTTTCACTCATTTATTCCGATTCTGATCTCTTGTCCCTCTCTGACGGCTCCAGGCCTGTGACTTGTCCAGGCAGCCCCTTCCCGGGTTTGGTTAGCCTGCGTGTCAGGACCCATGGCTTTAAACATTCCCTTGTCACCAACACCCTTGCCTGACCCTCCTTAACTGTCCTCCAGAGCTCCAGCGGTCGCCTCATTGGGCTCCCCCTCTGCCCTGGGGTCTGGGACCGCGTCCTGTTCCCGCCTCCCCTCTCCACTGGGCCCTGTCCCTGCCTGGGCCCTCTCCCACTCCAGACTTCGGATGCTTTCCTCCCCCCTGATCCCTGGAAAACGATTTGGCGCGCACTTTGCAGAGATGCAGGGGCCCGGACGGGAGCTCCCGGGCTCCTTTCTTGCCTCCTGGGAACTCGGCTGCGTCCGGTTCCTCCAGCGAAAGCTGTGTCCCCCCTGCCCTCCTGGCCCTGCTGCCTCCCACCCGGGAAGCCCACTCCTCCGCTCCCTCCGCCATCCCCAGCCTCTCCGTCTTCGGGCTGTTTCCCTCCCACCTTAGAAGGGAACACGCCACGGGACTGTCCCTCCACTGCGCCCTCCTTCAGCCCTCCCGTCCTTTCCGCCTCAGCCCTGTGCCTGCCCTTTAAGCTCCACGGCGCCGTCTGCTTGGTCGCCTGCTAACCCTCTAGAGCGGTGACGCTGGCAGTGACCTCCGCGTTGTCACACTTGGTGGGCCTGTTGGCCTGGTTTTCTTGACTTTCCGAGTCCTTGAACTTGATTTCCTGTTGGAGCTGCTCCCCGCCGCTTCCTGGGCCGTCCCTCCCTGGCTTGCCCGGCCTGTCAGACCGCCCTTCCTCGCCTTCTTTCACTGGCATCGCCTTTTCACTCACCCCATAGACGTCGGCATTTCCTAGGACTCCGTGCAACCCTCCCATCTTCTTTCTGGGAAAGCTGCCCTTCCTCATCACTGTCACACACGTCGTGTGACCGCTGCCTCTGAGCTGATGACTCCAGGTCAGTATCTCTCCAGAGCCGAAGATCTGCCCATCCGGCTGACCTGGCTTCCCTGCTTGAAGCATCTCCGGGCTGAATGAGTTATCCGCCCCTTTCTCAGAGGGGCCCTTTGAATTCTGGAGACCGAGACAGCGTTTGGATTCTGCTTTCATCCCATGGCTGGTTGGTCACCAAGCCTTGTTATCTGGGCTCCCAAACAGCTCTGAAGTCCGTCCTGTCCTCTGCACGCCTGTTCTTCCCCAAGTGCTTGTCATAAAGGGGCTAGTGCTGTAGCTTCCTGACGAGTCTCCTTCCTTCAGACTTGTCGCTTTCAGTCCACCCAGTCTGCGTGCTGCACCCGAGTGATCTTCCCAGATGCCTATATGCACCTCTGTGGCTTTGATCTCTGATGTCCCTCCCTTTTTGCAGGATGAAGTCCAAACTCTTCTGCACGTGATTCCAAGGCCCTCCGTGGTCCGGCCCATGTGGCCTTCCTAATCCTCACTCTCACTCTGCCAGCTCTGAGCTCTATACATAGCAAACCACTTCTCCCTTTTGGAGCACACTGATTTCATGCCTTTGTACATTTTTCTTTGGGTCTGGGATGCTCTACTTCTACCCCCACTCCCCTTTACCTATTGCTTTCCCTGTGGTCAGCATATCCATCTATCTGTTCATCATTCACCTATTCACCCACCCATCCACCCACCCATCCACCCATCCACCTATTCACCCATCCATCCATCCATCCATCCATCCATCCATCCATCCATCCATCCATCATCCATTCATCATCCACCCACCCACCCATCCATCCATCCACTCACCCATCCATCATCCATCCATCCATCCATCCATCCATCCACCCATCCACCCATCCACCCATCCACCCATCATCCATCCATCCGTCCGTCCGTCCGTCCATCCGTCCGTCCGTCCATCCATCCAGCAAATACTGGCTGAGCAGCTGCTATACCCCAGGCCTGCCGCCCTTACCTGACCATCCCTGGCCACACCCTTCACCTCCAGAGTAACTATCTTTTCCTCCTTATGATATTGTTGAAGGCGGTAAGTTTGAAGGAGGGGTGCCATAAACTAGAGAGAGATTTCAGTGCCTGCGGGGGTGGTTAAATGTGCCCTTGGTACAGGTTTATTTTATCCCTCCTGGAGGCAGGTGGGCGCAGGGAAGAGGAGTGGAGGCTCAGACCGTGGAGGAGAGGGTGCCAGGAGAGCGCCGTGACTTTGGCGTCAGTATTTGGGGAGACAGGCTTCTGAGTTAAAGTGTTCAACAGTTTTCACATTCCTAAGATGTGAACTAGAAACTTACAGTAGAAGCTGTAAAAACGTCATGTGAGAAACACAAAGATGAGTCAGCCTTCACTGCCAGGCGATAAAATTCGGGAAAGGAGACGCAGGAGCCATAAGAGCACAGACTAAAGAAGCAGCAAGGCCTCGATGCTGCCATAACATGTGACCACACGAAGAGGTGTCGGGGTTTGACCTGCACCCCACTGTGTGTTGGACACATGCTCTCTTCCATTAGCCGTAAGAACATACAGTGTGGACATATTGTTTTGGCCATTGGAAGCAAACATTTTTATAATCCTATTTGAGATTAAAATTTTTCGTGTGAGCGTTAGAGGGTAATGTATGACCTCTTTTGCATGAATGCTTGATGGTGCCTGTTTCAGTGCTGCCGGGGACTTCCATGATAGGTAGAAACGCTTAGGGTGGCAGCGTAGCCAGCCATTGGGCGGTGCTCCAGACCGGAATATCAGTGACTGTATATGAATATTTATTCAATCTTTCAACAATAATTGTTGGGCATGCCTTGGCCCAACCACTGGGGACCCAGTGGGTAGCAAGGGACAAGACCTCCCTCCTGGAGGTGCCACTGTGCCTCCCAAGTAGCTCCAGCACTGGGCGTGGGCTCCAGCCTCTTGGGAGAATGTGCCGATTTGAGATTGGAGCATGTACTTCACTTTGATGCCTGTTTCCACTCCCCCTTCCAGAAGCACTTCCTTTACAACTTGGTGAAAATAACCAGGTGGAACAATAGCATTGCCCTTCACTTACCTCCATTGACCTGGGTCAGGTTCCTGTTTATCCTGGAATCTCTAATCCAGGTTGAATATTTCCTCTGGACTTTTATAAAAACTGGGAACCTCTGAGATGTGCTCTCACCCCCATCCCCACCCTCAATCCCCAATCAACTATTCCATGGGCTGCATTTTAACAATTTTTTGTTTTCTTTTCAGAAAGTAAAAGGGGCATCTGGTGGAGCTTTACCAAAAAGGAGGAATTCCAAGATTTTTTTAGGTAATGTACATAGTTATCAGTGTGCCTAGATTTTCTGTGTGCGTGTGTTTGATGTGGAGCAATAGGCTGTTTATTGCTCTACAAGTCATGGATGAGCAGAATCAATTTAACTTGAGATGACCTGACCCCATTTCATGTTGGCCTGGTGGGGAAGGATGTCAGTATCTTAGCCAGGTTAGTGTTTTGAAGCAGTTATGCTCACAGTGGCTGCAGAGTAACTGTGATTCTACTCTGGTCTCTTTTTCACTGCTTTTAAAGAAGAGACACTTTATGTTTTCTTATTTTAACATTAACCAAACTACAGTTTGTTTGGGTTTCACCATTTTTTCCACTACTTTTATGTTCCAGAATCCCAGATTGCATTTAGTTGTCATGTTTCCTTGACCCTGTCTAATATGTGATAGTTCCTCACTCTCTTTTCATCTTTAACAGCTGTGACATGTGTGAAGCGTAGTGGCCAGTTATTCCATAGAATGTACCTCAGTTTGGGTTTGTTTGATGTGCCCGATGATATGTCTGAGGTTATGCTTTTTTGGCAAGAATACCACAGAGTGATGTGCCCTCCTCTGTGTGCATCAGGGGCAGGGGATGCCGTGTCTTCCTGCTGGTGGTGTCTACCTCATCACTTGTTGAAGGATGTCCCCTGGCTTTCTTCACTGTAAAGTTACAGTGTAATTAATAGGTGTACTGGGAATGATATTCGGAGACAATGCTAATATCTTGTTTCTCCTCAAGGTTTTGCCCTCTAATTTTATCATCCATGAGTGGATCTTGCCTGCAACAGTGATTACTGTGATGTTTGACTAATACTGATTTTCTGTCTCCCTAACTCAGAAGAACTGGCTTTGCTTATGTAAATGAGTACTGGTTTCTAATATCATGTTATCATGATCGTATGTCAGACAAAGCTTCTGATATGGTTTTTCCAGGAGAAAACATGGTTTGATAATGTTTGACCAAGCAAGTTTAAATCCCTAAATGCCTGAGATTATTGTTGGAAAGGAATTTAAAAATTGTTTGCATGTTATGATTTTATTTTGGTAAAAAAAAATCTATTCACATACACATACACGTATACAACTGTATGGAAAATAATACAATAATTAACAAATAGTAATACAAGACTAAACCCTATGTTTCGTGTACTCACAACTGTAAACCTATTTTTGCCCCACCCTGTATGTATAAATACATCTGTATGTGCACACATATCTATATATGTGTGTATGTATCTGTAAGTAAGTGTGTATGTATATATGTGTGTTTATACACACATGTATGCATATATGACTGAGCCTGGAAGAGTCTGGCAAAATATACTCCAAATTGTTAAAAGTAGCTGTAATAAAAAGACATATTCAGCATTTGAAAAGTAAAGCTATTGGAAACAGAGAGCTGAGTTTTCTTCCTGCTTACATTCTCACTTTTGTCCTTTAACCTTGTTTTTTTTACCCAAAGGACTTTGGGGTTTGGTTTCTTTAGTGATCATTTTGGTGGTAGATGATATTGTCAAATAACTGGTTTAAAAAATTCACCCAAAGGTAAGCACTGAGGCTGTGTGCTTCATTCTGTGCGGACTCCCCCGGGAGCACCAGCCCACTAGCTCATTTTGGTGGGACACGTCTACGGGCTGCTCTGCGTTCACTCGACAGTCCGTATCTCAGAGGACACGAGATGTGCCAAAACTCACAGCCTGGCAAAAATGTCCTATTTGGACTGTATCAGTTTCTAAAAAAATTAAATTTGTACATCGTTAGCACTCTGAGGCTTGCCCCAGGCCATTTCTCTCCATCGTGTTATACCTGATGCTTCACAGATTTATCGTAGCTACTTCTTCCCAGTAAGAATTTGGTCTTGCAAGCCCCCATTTCCAGTGCTCTCAACTGATGCTGCGGATCTTCCTGCAGCAGGCACTTTTGTCACCCTGATCACAGCTCTGTTTTCAAGTTGATGTGGCCTGTAAATTCACTACTGTGAAGGACTGTATTAGGATTACATCTGACTTATGAAACAGAAAACTTAAAATTTTGGTGACTTTAAACAAGACAGTTGTTTATTTCTCTCTTGTGTCAAGGATGTAAGGAAGCAGGCTGATGTGATAGCCTCATGGTCTATTAGAATCTAGACTCTTCCTGTGTTTCTGCTTCACTCTCCATCCTGGCCTGTGATTTCCGACCTTGTGGTTACTTCACGGTGCAGAATGGCTTCTGGAACTCAGTCATCACACCCCCATTATGGAAAGCAAGAAAACTGAAGGGGGAAAGGACAGAAGTCTGATCTCCCAATGGAGTCCCTTCTTTTTGTCAGCTTTCTCACAGACCCTCAGGCAACACTTCAGTTTCCATCTCTCTGGTCAGAACTTGGACACATGGCCACACCAGGTGCTGCACAGGAGACTGGAAAGTAAAGTCTGTTAACTGGCTTCATTAAATAAAGCCTGTTACTAAGCAAGAAGGGGAGAATGGATACCAGGAGGCAGCTAATAGCTTCTGCACAGATTCCTTCCCTAAAAGGGACATTGGGGTTGCCTCCTCATGGAAAGGAAGGGCCTCAGAACTCTCTTGCAGTCTCTCTTGTTTGTTTGAATAGAAACTACTTTTTCACTGCTGTTGAAGTGGAGTTGTGATGTCCCTTCTCTTTCACAAACAGATGTGGATGACTAATGCTTTCTCCTGGAGAGAGGCTTTTTTCCATGTTCACTTGATGACTTGTGACTAATTTCTTTCCTTTGGTTCAATAGTCACATTGAAACCATTGAATCCTTCAGTTATGACCTTCAATACTGATTCTATAAGGGAAACTGAGGCCATTAGCTGGTGCTGAATGGCTTATCCCAGTCTCCTGAGCACCATCCTGCTCTTGATAGTCAAGTTACTCTTATTACATTTATGCTCATCAATGAAATCACAATTAAGGGTTCTTCCCTCAGCTCTAGTTTTTGCTGGTAATTTTTTTTTTTAAATCCTCACCAGAGGATATTTTTTCCATTGCTTTTCAGAGAGAGTGGAAGGGGGAGAGAGAGATGGAAACATCTATCTGAGAGAGACACATGGATTGGTTGCCTCCCACACATGCCCCAACAGGGCCAGGGATCGAGTCTGCAGGCCGAGGTACGTGCCCTTTACCGGAATTGAACCCAGGAACCTTCAGTCTGGGGGCTGACACCCTAACCACTGAACCAAACTGGCTAGGGCTTTTTATTTTTTTTTTAATCAACAATTACTACTATGGGTAATGTTTGAATCATTTACATTTTATACTTATTTTTGCATTTAGGATTTAAAAAATATTTTTGACTATATTATTAACATATGGACAAAGCTTAAAATTACAAAGTTATAAGAGGCTCTATAAGAAGAGTGGATTTCTTTCCTTTCCATGGTTAGTCTCCCCAGAGACAAATAGTATTTCCTATTTGTACATCCTTATATATCTCGTATGTTCTTCCAGTATATACCATGCTTTTAGACATTTTCCTGTGGGCAGTGGTGAGCCATTAACACTTTGGTTCCCAAGCTGTGCTCTGAGGCACCCTGGGGTGCTGCAGCAGATTCACAGGTGCACCTCAAGATATTTTAACTCTTCAAGGGAACACAGTGATGCTTGAACGTTGCATGAACCATTAGCTCGTGTAGTTTCATTATTAGAGTATCCAATATTCCTTTCAGTGACTTTATCTCTTCGTGAAGCTGGTTTTTGGTGGTTTCTATGATAAAAGGCAAGTACCGTGTGAAAATAAATGTGGAATGGGAAACAGTTTGACGCAAAGATGCCCAGTGGGTGCACTCACCCTGTAAGTAAGGAATCGTGGTTATTTAAGAATGAAATAGAACATTTTTTTTCTTTTAATTTGTGTGCATTATTTTATCAAATGGTTACTAAGTAGTTAGAACATAAATGCTTATTAAGTTGTTTGGGCCTAACTACGAATTAAATAAACAGAACTACTAGGCTTGTTTTTTTTTTCTTCTTTGCTTCCTGCTGCTGTGTAAAAATTGCTGGGATGTGTGAACTGAGAAAGTGTGGGTAGCGCTGCATTAATGTTTCAAGCTAGAAAGGGACACTATTATAGGATGATAATTTACAACCATATGACAGACTGTGAATTTTGGCAATAAGCTGATATAAAACTTACTGTTCTATGAGATAGAAGGAGAGAAGAGGGGATGTAAGGGAGCCTGGGATCTTCAAAGAAATACCCCAGGACTCGGGACATGAATCTGGCTTAATCTTAAGTATATTTTACAATAAAGCTACAAATGTGTATAGATGTATAAGTAAATGCTAAAGCATTTCATAAAAAAGTGCCATATCTTTGGTATGTCATAAAAATAGTTAGTCATATTTTTATTAAGTATCCCATCCCCCCAACATTCATCAATAAGAGTGAATGAGTTCAGGTCTTCAAAGAGCTACCTCAACCCCAGAGAGCTTAGAGCCCATTTTTTTTGGCTTTAGCCCTGGTGCTCATACTTGGTGAGAAACAGGTTGTAGAAGAGAACGTTTGGAGAAAGCTCCAGGAATGGGCCTGTTCTGAAAACTCACCTGTGCCTATCATGACCAGAAGGTTCTAGTGGATTCCGCATTACCTTCCCTTCTGAAGCCAGTCACAGAACAGGGTCTGTGCTCAAGGGGTTCCCCCCGTCCCTTCTTTTGAGGGTAAATGGCTGGTCTGATTTCACAGCACCGGGACAGCGCACTTCCAGCACATGAAGCAGAGTCAGCCTGGTCAGGCCGAGAGGATGCTGAGCTGGGATCCGAGCCCTGGTTTTCCTTAGGGATCTGGTCCTCACTGTGCTGCTTCATAGTTTAGGCAAGTTACTTCCTGGAAATGGGTGTGGTCTCAGGGATCTGAGAGGATCACTGAAGCAGCGCTGGGGAAATGCTATTTAAAAAGAAGTTGTTTTTAAACTTAGGAAAAGAGCCCATCCAGCTATTAACAATTACCAGCCACGATGGGAAGTGACTGCTGGGAGAAGTTGGGGGTGCCAGTCCTGGTCCCTAGGGCATGCTTACTCAGAAGGTTTCTCAACTAGATATTTTTGGGGTGGCGAGACTTTAATTAAAGAAATTTGGAAATTATAGATTTATTTTTAGGATTGTGGGGTCATATGTATTCAGAAGCAACCTTAGATTTGTGCCTTAAAATCAGAGCGTAGGTTACCTCTGTTGACTTTCTCTAATTTGGATTAAGATATTTGGGAAGGATCATGATCCCCTTCCATTCCATTGAATTAAAAATAAAAGTAAACTATAAACTAAGTGTTAAGAAGCCCAACAAGGTTCTGCCTTTTTGGAGGTTGTTGTTCGTGACAGCAGTCTTGGTTCTTTTAAAACACACATCAGTTACCAATTAAAAAAAGTCCCCAAACCATAGCAACCCCTTTGATCTCTTGCTTTGCTGTTGTCCCTAGCCTGGTGGGTTTTTAACTTCTTAAAGTCTCCTCTCACGGACATTTACTGTGTGTGGTGTGCTGGGCTCTGTGCAGGGGCTGGGGACTTAGAGGGTGAGTGCGACCTGATTCCTGCTTTACAGCTTAGCCTAGAAGCATTCAAAGCTCATATCTTCTCCACTGTCAGATCACGTGGCAGACCCCCCCCAGGATGCTGTGATCTTCATGAAACTTATTCCAGGATTGCTTTGGAGCTGGGGCAGCTGAAGGGAAGGGAAGGCACTTTTGCTCATGATGTCAACAGTGTAGAGAAGGTGGTGATGGTGGTGATGGAGGTGATGGCAGCTACTATCTGTGGGGTCTCTAAGCTCTGCCAGATCCTGTACTAGGTGCCTTAAAACCTCACCTTGTTAATCCCCTCAACAGTCTCGTGGAGTAGATAATATCCATCGCTTACTCGTGAGGAAAATGAACTTGGCAAGAACTTGCTCAGCGTTACATAGCTAGTAAATGTCAGGGTAGGACTTTCTTGGACTCAGTTTATCATTGTTTTTGGCCAGGTAAGATTTGAATTAGCGTTAAGTGAGTATGTTTTCTGTGGAAAAGAGACACCTACAGAATATGTTATATAAGCCGACTCTATACATAAAAAAAAAAAGACTTGTATTTTGGTTACTTAAAATTGTTATAAACAGTAGAATAAAGGAAAATTTAAAAATAGAGAAAAGTTTATCCACTCACAATTTTCATTTGTTCGGATTTCCTTCCAGTTCTGGTCCATGAGCATAACTTCTACAAAGTTGTCTTTACAGGGAAAATGATTTTGTATTTTTAGCATTGACGTAGCGTAGACATTTTCATGTTTCTACCTACTCTAAATAAATATCATTTGAATAATAGTCTATTGGGTTGAACACTATCCTCATTGGACATTTAGGTTTTCTTTTTTTTATTTTAGATATTGGGGCATTCAAATTTTATAACACAGAATGTCTGTCTTTGAATCATTTCCTTGAAATAAATGCCTTTAGTTCTTAAACTCGGCATCTTCTCTAACATTGTTTTTTTTGAAACAAACCTCTTATAGCTATCTAACAATGTTTTTGTTTATTTTGGCATTTCTGAGTCTTGTCATTTAGGATCCTTCATTAAAATGTTTGGACTGTATTTTAGTTATGTCTCATTTTCTACTTAAAACTGCCCCATCTGAGAATTCAAGAGCAGAGCTGTACATAGAAAGATACAGGGTCTTTAGTTGGAGGCGAACAGCAGGGTAATAACAGAATCTAGGTCCTTTGGTTGTCAGCTGGCTGCTTTATCCAGTAAAATAGCTTTCTCCTATGTACAGAGCCTGTGTGCGTACCTGTTTCTGTGTGGCTTTGTGAGTGGAATGTGGCTCAGTAGCTCTTTGTCACCATAGTTCCAAACATTTAAATATACAGACATGACCTGGGGTGCTGGAGTCGTGTGCACACGAGGCTGAAATGTCCATGTATATTTGGTGATGAGACATTTCCTGAGCCTTCACCTAACCTTTGCCAGAGATTAGCCAAGCAAAGAGGCGACGACTTACCGACACAGTCTAGAGGACCTCGTCTCTCTTACTGAAAATTCTTCACCGCCCCAGGGTGACAGGACTGTTTACATTATGGAGTTTCCCCCTCTGGTGTCCTGTCCAGTGTGTCAACAGTGCGCAGAGGGGGAGGGCCAGTGAGAGGGGAAGAGAGGGAGAGCGAGAAATCGAGATTTTATTTTTCAATAATAGCTACTATTATTGATGACCTACTCTGTGCCAGGTCTCTTGTCTGCAGTTCTTTCTTTATTCCCCATATAAAGTGTGTGAGATAAGTGTCACTATCTCCATTCTACAAATGAGGCAACTAAGGTTTAGAGAATTTGCGACTTGCCCAAAGTAACATTACGTTTTGGAGCCAGATAAAGCCTAGGTTTATCTCCTCAGAAACCCATGTACTTCTTCCCTACTCCAGTGTTGGGGAAAACATTCCAACCCATTCTTGTGAAATCAGGAGGCAGGTACCCGACAAGTCATAATGAACCTTCTGGTTCCATTTTCACTGGACAGCGTCGGCTGTGACTCCGTCTCCTTTGTCCCCCGCCCCTTGTAAGCAAGTAGTTGTAACCCAGGGCAGACGGAAGGGCCTTTCGCTCCTGGCGTGGGGCAGACGGCGGCCGTGTCCGCCGAGGGAGCCGTACCTGTCCGGCCTCTGTCTGTCCTCCCTGTGCGTGTCCGGCCTCTGTCTGTCCTCCCTGTGCGTGTCCGGCCTCTGTCTGTCCTCCCTGTGCGTGTCCGGCCTCTGTCTGTCCTCCCTGTGCGTGTCCGGCCTCTGTCTGTCCTCCCTGTGCGTGTCCGGCCTCTGTCTGTCCTCCCTGTGCGTGTCCGGCCTCTGTCTGTCCTCCCTGTGCGTGTCCGGCCTCTGTCTGTCCTCCCTGTGCGTGTCCGGCCTCTGTCTGTCCTCCCTGTGCGTGTCCGGCCTCTGTCTGTCCTCCCTGTGCGTGTCCGGCCTCTGTCTGTCCTCCCTGTGCGTGTCCGGCCTCTGTCTGTCCTCCCTGTGCGTGTCCGGCCTCTGTCTGTCCTCCCTGTGCGTGTCCGGCCTCTGTCTGTCCTCCCTGTGCGTGTCCGGCCTCTGTCTGTCCTCCCTGTGCGTGTCCGGCCTCTGTCTGTCCTCCCTGTGCGTGTCCGGCCTCCCCAGTGAGTGCTGCCTTGGTGCGGAATGTTCTTTCTTCACGTCTTGTTCTTTGTTTTTGTTTTCTCCTCAGATCTAGATACTGATGACGATTTAAATAGCGACGATTATGAATATGAAGATGAAGCCAAACTCGTTATATTCCCAGAGCACTATGAAATAGCACTGCCAAATATTGAGGAGTTACCTGCCCTGGTCAGTGAGTGTGCACGGCTGCTAGCTAGATGCGCGTGACTCTCTGTGTCAGGTAGGTGTGTGTGTGTGCCGTGTGCGTGCCCTGGGGGGGTGGATGAGAGGGGACGAGAGGCGTGAGCTCGGCCCCAGCGGATTGCTGCTGCTCCGGGGAAAGGGCCCGCGGGCTGCGGTCCGGGAGCCTCGCCCCGACGCCCGCGCTGTGCTGGCCGGGCTCTGCTCTCCCCGCACTGCCCCCTCGGGGGCTGGCTTCTCGCTGCCTGGGACTCGGTCTGCGGCTTCCGTTGCGCAGACGGCCCGCGCTGTGTGGGGCTGAGGCCGAGGGCCTGTCCCCCGATCAGAGGGACGGCTGTGTTTTTCTCCGTCTGCGTGTTGCCTTCCACGTTAGGGTTTTGTTTGGGCTGAAGCACAGGAGTTCCACGGTGGAAACAGCAGCCCGATGATAAAAGTAACCAGCTGTTCCCACCCGCGGGTCTGCATCGCCCGGTGGCCATGTGACCCGGCTTCGCAGTGCTCCTCACGAGGGCCAGATTACTGTCTAGGTTTTATACTTTAGATTTAGGGGTGAGCCTTTTCTCTCTTCCTTTCCCTTCCTTCCTGTGGAGTCACTTTCACCTTCCTGAACAACTTCAAGGCGGGGGAGCGCCAGGCCCTGTGTTACTGCGATTCTTGATTCTCGATTCTCGAATCCTCGAATCCTGGAAGCGGGCACGAGTTCCTGCCGGGGCCGACCCATTTTCCTGCTCTTCCCTCCTTTCCTGTATTGTCTCTGCCACTCCACCCTTCTTGCCTCTGTTCTCTTTCCTTTCTTTTCCTCTTTTCCACTCTGTGTGCACCCTGAGTTCTCAGAGCCTGGCTACAGATAGCAGCGGGGTCAAGGGTCAGGGGTCAGGGTCAATTTGAGAGCAAACATGCCAGTTCATTTTTCCCCTTCTCAAACTCTTCCAGGACCAGAGCCAGGCCGTTAGGTCCCTGAGTCTTCAGGGCTTTGTGTGACCCTGTCTACAGCCACCTGCTCACCTGCCCCGGTCAAGAGGGGACGTGTGCTTGGGGTTGTCATGTCATTAGGGGCCGGGTTTCCGCCATTCCACCTGTGGCTCCTGACTGACTTTATAGCTAAATATATGACCATAGAAATGAAAGTTTTCTCTATTTAGGTATTGTAGTTCTTTCCTCTAATTATGACATTTAACATATCTTTTTAGTGCTAAGTGCACACCTTTGGCAAGGCATGCACGATTCCCCGTGTTGACTCGTGGCTGTGACCAAGGATAACACACAGGAGTAGACAAATGGTCTTGCCTCGTCCCACTACCTGGAATTATATGCTACAGCTTATATATCTTTGCCATACTGAGAGTTCTTATTGCCCTTGTCTAATGTAACTGTCTGCCATCAGAAAAGAAGTAAAGAAGCACATTGTGAGTGACTGTCACGAGAAAGGATTTTCCTCTCCATTCACTTATGAAGGGAAAGTCTTCATGTGAAAAAGTTAATAGAAAAGTCTCTAAATACTTTAAATTATTCCTATATTCAGAACATAATTCGAAATAGGAATCCTTTTATTTAAAAGTGCAGTGACATAAAAATCTGAATCCAGCAGTAGTTTAATAGAGTCTTTTAGAATTAAGAAATACTTTAAGAATTAAAAAAGAAGAGAGAATTATTTAGAAGAGACGCTTGAAAGAAAAGCCTGGATTTATCTGATGGTAACTGATAGGATTTATATATATACTACATTTTCTTTAATGCTTTTGCTACACTTTGGTGTTTAAAAGTCTCATTTAAAGCTTTTAAATAACAAAGTTATTGAGTTAAAAAAATCACTCAACCAGTTCATTCTTCCTTCGTCTCTTGAGCTTCTCAGCACTGGAAAGATTCAGTTTCAGATAAGTTACTCTATGAATCCTACCAAAAAGTTAAACCACCTCTTAGCAATGCAGGTTCACAGAGGCATACCATTTGGGGCTCAGTGAGGATTTTATAATCTGGAATCCAGTACCTCACTTTAGACATTGGGAACCCAGCAGTGGTGTGCTTGTACAGGGTTAGACCCAGCTCCCTGGGGGACAGGCCTGCTTTGTACAGGTTGCTGGTTTCGGTGGTATGAGTATTGCCACCACGGCTGATTTCAGGCTAACAACGAGATGTCACTGAGGGCAGGGTTGGGAAGAGACACACAGTTACACGTAACATAGGTGTAAATAACCTCAAGAGAACACAGATACTAGTAAGGTATAGTACAACCATTACAAAGTATTTCAAATCTTTGCTACCTTTAAGAAGTATAGTTTATTTAATGGTAAGTTTATATAATTTAATTTTTAACAATGGCTGTGTTGAACAACCATCTTAAAGAATTTCTTAATGTTTAACAGTTGAATCTGTGAGCCCATTTGAGCTGGTTCCAGCGCCCCACTGAACTTGAGGCCCATGGAGACTTGGGATGGAGCCAGGACTAGTAACAAGGTCTCTCACTTCACTCCCGATGATAAATCCAGGGAGAGAATTCACAGTATAATTACAGGATGATCTATCCTGATCTTCAGGGATTTTAGATGATCTGAAAACACTAGATCAGTGTTTTTTAGTGGCCCAGAATTTAAGGACATTTTGTTGAGTGTCACAAAGATAAGAAATATTATTCAAAGATAAGAAATATTATATCCAAACCTTAATAAAAAACATTGTGCATTGCAAACCAGAACACTTAAAGATCTAGTGGGGTAGAGAAAATTCAGATGAGGACTGTGAGGGGCTTGATGAAAACTGTGAAACAAGAAAGGGGTTATAATAAACCAGACTAAAAAGGTGAGGATGGGTAGACAGAAGTGCAGAGGCAGCTTTAAAAACCCCATAAAATCAGGAAAAGGCTGGAAGTGAACTCAGCCCTGTTCTCTAGGGCCGGGCCTGGAAGCGGGGGTAAGAGATGAATTTTGATAATTGAAAGGAAAGGGTAATTATATAGCAGCGTTTGTGATGAGAGATGAATGAGAGTATCTTTTTAAAAAGGGTTTAAAATTAGATTTATGGATGCCTGATCTGTGATGGAGTTAAAGCTTCTTGAAGGCAGGGACCTTTTCCATATTCCTGGCAGTGTGTCATCAGCTGGTAGTGTTCAGTATAACCTGGGAGAGTTTTAAGCTGGGAAGGATAGGATCTGATATCCACAGCAGATCACTCGGGCTGCTGCAGGAAGGAGACCGTAAGGGCCTGCCGTGTGGCCATCCAGGTGAGCTGTGATGGTGTTGGAACTGAGATGGTGTGTCGAAATTGAGAAGAGGTGGGTTCCAAAAAGGTTTTGGATGTAGGACTGATAGGAACTGCCCATTGGCGGGATGGGGGTGGGATGGCAGCTGAGGGAACGTCCTCCATTGTCTCTTAATCAATTCTGGGATCAATCAGTGCTACCCAGGGGAAAACATTCTGCATGAAGTTCGGCTAATTGTGCAGGATGTTGGTGATGTAGAATACATATTTTTGTTTAAAATTTTTATTTTTAACAATTCAGTGGCTTTTATTATATTCAGAGTTGGGCATCCATCACCACTATCTCATTCTAGAATATTCTTATTACCCCACAGTCATCGCCTCTCAAACTCTCCCTCCTCTCCCCCCCAGGTCTCTGCCAATCACTGATCTACTTCCTATCTCTATGAACTTGCTTATTCTGGATATTTCATATAAATGGAATTATGCAATACATATTTTTTGTGTGGATAGCTTCTTTTCACTTAACATATATTTTCAAGATTTATCCATGCTATAGCATGTATCAGTACTCTATTTCTTTTTATTGCTAAATAACATTCTATTGTATGCACATATGACATTTTACTTACTCATTTATCATTAATGGACATTTGGGATGTTTCTCCTTGTTGGCTATTATAAATAATGCTTCTATGAACATTTGTGTATAAATTATTGTGTGGGCATGTATTTTCATTTATCTTGGGTATATACCTAGGAATGGAATTCTGTTTAACTGAGGACCTGCCAAACTATTTTCCAAAGTGGCTGCACCATTTTACATTCCTACCAGAATGTTTTTAAAGACAGCCAGAAATGAGTTATATCATTAAGCAAACAGCAGATGTGATGATGGGCATATGTCCAGGATCAATTGGGCTTGGGAAAAGCAGAGAATCTGCACCCCCCCCCCC